TGTCTGTCTGAAAGGTGAAGGCGGCATCCTTGGCACATAGGTTAAATATTTTGACTAAGAATTGATTGCTGTGCTCTGGTTTTCAGTTTGAATTGTCACAACAGACAATTGTGTGTGGAGGATCCCTGAAAGAGCTCCAAGTGCCCTAGAAATATAAGATTAGCTGATACTGTCCTGGTTTAATTTAAGGCCTGCAGCTGTTCCTGTAGGGAAGCATCGAGTTTCAAACAGTTACGAAGACACAGTGAAAATAAATAGAAAGGGAGTCTCCCCAGGACAAAGTAGAAATTAACCATGTGTCCGTGTGGTGCTGCCCGTCTATGCCATGTTTGCTGCTAAGACATCGATCTCAAAACATGTAATTTAGTCTGCCTTAATTCATGCTGCTTGGCAGCATACCAATGACTCAAAGATTAGGATGATTCAGAGGTTGATATATGTGTACCTGATAAAAATTAAATGAACTAATTATTTTTTAAATAAAAACAATTTAGCACCAGATGGTTACATCCACATAATTTGTTAAATAGATGTATTATCTTCCTTGAAAAACGCTATCATTTTAATATGTGAAGTTTATTTACCTTCTGTTTCTTATGGTAAACATGATATGAATTTCTTCTCAAATAATAAAGTTTTTTAGTTTTGATTTTGTTTTTTACTTACAATGGAACTTAAGGAAAGTGTTTTTCTTAAAAAAATAAAGCAGGGAAGCCCAAGTTCTGAGTGCCGCGAGCTCCTCTGCAGTGGCTGAGGTGAGGGTCGGCATTAGAGCTCACCAAAGAAGCCCACTGACTCTTCTTCCTCAAGACAACGATGGTTTTCAGGAAGTGGGGCAAGGTTTACCTGTTGGGGTGCTGGATTTTCAGGAATGGTTGGGATTCTGTGTGCTGGCTCTTGGGTTTGACACACCCAAGGGTGCAGACCGAAACTGGTTTCCAGTTTTAAGAGAGTTCAAGCTATTGAGTTCACCAGGTAAAATTAGATTCGCCTGTTGCTACAGGAGGGGCAGAAACCTGAGCTGAGGGAGTCCTTTCTCAGGGCAGAGCCAGAAGTCAGTGTCCCGTCACCCTACACAAATGGGAGTTTAATTCCTTCCATTCCTGCAGAGCTCGGATCCTCTTCTGGAACCAGTTCGTCAGTGTGGTTTCTGAGTCGCTAAGGTAAGTAGTCAGTTTCCACTTGGGTTTTATAAATTAAATAGTTACAAGGTTTCTTGTGTTTTTTTCTACTCCAGTGGCATAACGTTTAATAATCTAAAATAAAGTTGAATAAATTCTCTCGATTTTATTTTCATTATTAACAAAATCCGGTTCCCCTCTCATTTCGCCTGTGTTGGTCCCAGCAACTCCAGGGACGACCTGTGCTGTGCCCTTAGCGTGGCCGCATTGCTGACATTCGCAAACGTGTCCTAACAATGTGGCTGTGTCGTGGGATGTTGACTCTGACAGTGGAACAGAGAAGTGTGCTCTTTAAAGTCACCTTCAGCTCCACCCGAGCCTTTCTGGTAAACTGAGTCTTGTCAACGTCTAGTGCATTGGGTCCCTGGGTGAGGGTCTCACGCAATCGGGACACGGGATGCAGAGTGTGAACAACTGCATAACAAGCTTTATTTTTCGTGGCTTTTTATACAGACTAAAAAGCATTACCTCAGCTCTGAATGCCCCCCCTTTACCCACGCACATGATCATGAGAAACTCTTACCCCACCTTGCAAGAAATAATGCCTCAGTAAAAAGCAGTAATAAATACAAGAAAGAAGTATAAAGAAACAAAGCAAAAAGTATACAGAAGCAAAGCGCTTCTTTAATCTATACATGGTGATGCTTTCGTCTGTGTTTGGTTTGCCAAGCAGTCGTTTCTGAACTTCATCTCATCTGTCCCAGGAGGAGCCCGCACTCTAAGCCAGTTCTGTGTCTCCACAAGTCTGACGCTTCAGACCTTCTGGGTGCTTTTCTTAGAGACACTAATAGGTGAAAATGGGAACAAAAGTCAAGGTGTTTTATAAACTGAGAATCAACAGCACAAGAGCCTAGTGTCAAGCTGGCTCCAGAACTGTTCTTGGACTGTTTTCCCTCACAAGATTTGGTAAAAAAACATAGTGATATGCAGAGACAAGCCATCCTGTGGGGTGACTCTAAAGAGGACCGGCACTTTCGACTGCTCAGATTAGGGTTGTGTCTTTGTTCCTAAGTTACTATGTGGAGGTTGGAAACTATGAGTTACTTTTAAAGGAAGGAAGAAGGCCAGGAAAAGCACAACAGGACCAGGAGAAAGCTCAGCCCCAGGATGGGGTGAGTCTGGGTTCACAGGAACTACAAAAGCCTGGCCTGTTTGCTTTTTGCTTCTCTTCTTGGAAATATCTAGATACAAGAAGATCTGCTTTGGGAATTTCAAAACTAGTGATTCAAGAAGAGTTAATTTTGTGGGTTCTAGAATGGATCGAGATTTTTCTTTCAAAGTCAAAAGGGCAGCAATATCTCAAACTAGCCAGGTCTGTGATTCTGAAGACTGCCAAGTCCATGTTGTCAACTGACCTTGACAAAACTTGGGAGTTGAATACTGAAAATCACACTTTTCCATCTTGTCCTATAAAATCATACTTCATGGGGCTCGAGGTATAGTTCTGTGATACAGTGATTGCCCTAGTATGTGTGTTCACAAGTAGGTAGATGATGGTAGATGTTAAGTAGATAGATGAAAGATAGATGGAGAGAGAGAGAGAGAGAGAGAAAAGTAGATATAGGGGAACACCAGATATTCTAGTCATTAAGCTAAACTGCTTTTGTATGCACTATGGAAACTAAACCTGATTGTAAACTACAGCAGGTCAGCTCCTTTCCATGCTGTGTTCTATCTAGGTGGTCTGTTTCAGCCCCTCCCTTCACTCTGGCCAACCAAGACCCCTCCCTGACTTGACTGCCTTTGATAATGGAGTGTGAATAGGTGATCCACTGGTTTCTCTTTGGGCATCTGCATCGATTTTGTTTTATTTGAGACATAGTGGCTTGTTTGGATATTATGCCTTCCTGGTTATAGGTTTTTTTTTTTAGTAAATTTTATTAAATTATAAAAGTTTCCATTTCCGCCCCCCCTCCCAACACCCTCCCACTCCCCCTACTCCCCCCACTCCCCCCCTCCTTCCTCTCCGTCCCCCAGGGCAGTCAGGGTTTCCTGCCCTGTGGGAAGCTCCAGCTCCCTCCCCCTCCCTCCAGGTCCAGGAAGGCGAGCGTCCAAACAGACTGGATCCCCAAAATCCAGCATATGCAGAGGAAACAGGTCCCAGTGTCATAGTCAATGGCTTTTCAGAAAGACCCCGGGCCAGCCACAGTCAGAGAATCCGGCCAAATTCCGAGAATCTGGCTAGATCACCTCCTCGTTCAGTCCCAGTCCGACTGGCCCTGGTAAATTCTCATCAGATCCGTTCCCTTGTATCAGTGGGTGATAGCATCCCTCGCAGTACTGATTTCGTCTTTCATGTTCCTCCTCCTTCCGCTTCCCCTCCGGACCTCGGGGGGCTCAATCCGTTGCTCCAATGTGGGCCTCCGACTGCATAGCCGTCCTTCGCCAGACGAAGGATCTATGGTGATAAGCAAAATATACATCAGTATGGTCATGGGCCACGGCCGATTCAGGCACCCTCTCCTCTGTCCAGAGAGCAATCTGGGGGATTTCTCCTTGGACCTGGGATCCCATATATAATCAAGTCTCCTGTAAACCCTAAAATGGCTCCCTTAGTTGAAATATATTGTTCCCTGATCCCATATTCATCCTACCTCCCT